GTCTCGTTGTTTCTGCGATTTTTAACGCTTAGAAGACGCATTCCTGTCGTTTTAATGAAAAACTGGGTTAAGTGCTTAAGCTCAAAATCCTGTATGTTGAAGGGCGAAAGAGGCAGATATCCTGCTTGTTGTAATGGATAGCAGTCTATGCAAGGATATTGGCGCGGAAACCTGCTCCCTACTATCCGATCTCGAACTTCGTGAAGATGTACGCATTGTTATCGTTTGTAATAAATGTGACTTGCCAGGTGTACAGCATTCATTGGACAGCGCATCGTGGCCTATTGTTCATGTTTCATGTATTACCGGTGCAGGGATCGAATCTTTGGTCAGTTTTTGTTTTCGTGTCTTTTTTTTGCCTTGAATTTCATCAAAGTTTTATTTTGTGGAAAGAACGACAACTATCTTGAGAAAATAAAACACACCAATGGCAGTTCTATATCAGCCACTAGTAAGCCGACTGTAGCAACCAGGTTGACTCTGAAAGCCTAAATGGCAAAGGAGCGATAGATTACAGCATGATGAAACAGTATGAGAAAAGAAGGAAGTAAGAGTGAGATAAGAAGAGTTTCGGTCCATTAAGTCATATACGCCTTAACTCAACACTGCGACTGAACCTCATCAGTACGATGGTCGTGGTGCTCAGTGAAAAAGAAAAAGAAAAGAGGAAGACGGCAGAAAGAAACAGAAAGGAAAACGATATGACTTTGGGTATGGAAGGGGTAAGAATGTGGTGAAGAGGGAAGGCAAAAGGAAGGAGGAAGAAAAAGTCACTGTTAATGGGCCCGTCTGCTCGGGTGGCAATCGCTTTTGAATAATCCTTAAAGAGGGGTTTGCGTACTTGGTTAATACGGATAAGTGGATACTGGGGCTTTGGCTTGGCTTATCAGCATCTTAATAAAATTGGAAGCTTCACAAGCACAATCGAAAGTTCTATGAAGCAGTTTGCTCATTTGTTTTAGTTCGATGTGATTCGTCAGCAGATAGATGAATTATGCCCCGTCTCGGATGATAACGCACTTCTCAGTCGTCAAAGGCATCGCCTGTTGATCGAGGAGGCGCTCATTGCACTCGAACAGGTTTCGTGCTTTTCCGGTTTTGCCGCTGGTAGTGTTTGTTTGACTGTTTTTGTTTTGCGGTAAACCATTGATAGGCATCAATCACGGGGTCGCGGTATGCCATGGATTCAGCTTCTTTCTACATATTATCATCCTGAAACGACCCTAATTAAGTTTAACTCTTTTTAAAAAAAACTCCTGAGCTATAAGGAAAATGCTTCGATTCCGTCATTGGGAAAACCAGTTTCTTTACGTTTCTGTAATTCGTCTCGACAATATTTTTCTACTTTTACCTGTCAAAGATTTGGAACCAGCAGTAGCTTAATTCTAATTTTTTTCCGAAGAAAGCAGCTATTGAATGCTTTTGCTAAATGGTAGCTAATTTTGAAAATATGCTTCATATTGGTCACTTTCGAGTACTTTTGCCGTTTATGGAGAATGAAATATTACTTATCGACTTGAACAACACTTTGCCCAACCACAGACGGATCCAGGACGGACTTCTAGGAGGGGTGGTGGAACTATGCAAAAAACTAGGAATAGAGTTGTAACACTGCGACTTTCTTTAGTTTTAGCTTTAGACCCGGTCTTTTGCAGCACTGGTGCCTGTTCCATTGGAATGGGGAGGGCAGGGTGGAAGTGGAGGGGAGACGAAAGACCCTTCGCCCCGGGTGCGCGTTTGTGCCCAGCTGAGTCGTTCAGGTACATATTCCATTGTTGATTAGCAGCTAGTGATAATCAAAAGATGTTAATTGTGTATGTAAATCTGCAAAGACTTGTAATGGCTGTGCTGCTGAGTTTCTGTGGCCGCATTTCGGGAACACAAGGGGCACTCACTGAACCAGGTCGATTTTCCAGATGTAGGATGGCACATAACGCCCCCTGGATTCATTATGAGTAATAGAACACTGGAAATTTTTGGGTTTGATTATAACCTTGCAGTTCATGAATTTTAACTCTTCACAGCCAATTCTACAGCTGAATTTGGTACCCGTTCATTTCCTAGTGTTTATCTTCTCCCTTCAGCATCTAGGAAGCACTTATGAATTTGTTAAGTGTAGAAAGAAGAGGCAACGAATTTTTTGGGATACGAGAAACGCATTTGTTCTGGACTTATGCCAGAATGTTTGTCATATCTACCAAATTCATGCTTTTACAGACGGCGAAAGTGAACGATGCGGCGGTAGTTGCCGAATTGCTGCGTGATGCGACCGATGCAGTTGGCGAAGTGTCAGGGGCGGTTGTTACCGAACAAATTCTTGACCAGATTTTTTCTTCGTTTTGTATCGGAAAATAAAGTAAATTTGGGGTTTATCGCAAATTATTCTCACAGACACTATTGCATTATAAAATTATCATTTTTACAGTCTCAGTCGACAGGTTTCCTCACCGACTAATTTAGAAGTGGTTCCAGCTTCCTAGCTTTCGTGGTTCCCGAGTTATTAATTTTGACGCTAAGAAATTCACGTGACTTACGTGAGCTGAATTTAAATTTGCGGCCACACACGGGGAGGTACATTCTTCTAAAATCTCAGCTTCCTAGTTTCTGTGGCTTTCGAATTGAAAAGCGAGAACAAAATGCACACACACACACACACACACACATACACACACACACGTACGCACGTACGTACGTTCACATCCATACACACACACACATTGGGACGTGACAGTATGCCTTTAATGCAACTGTTACACAGCACAAAACGCATAATTAAATTTTGAAAAGATCTGAACTAGTTCTAGATCAAAAGCAAGCTAATCTTCAGATTATTGAGAAAAGTATTTGATTGTGACGTCAGCATTAATTCTGGGACGGGATATACAGATTCGCTGATTGCTGCAAACATTACTGACTTGTGTTGAAATTAATTTACTGGAAAAAGCAGCAATAGCACGGAACCATCACGCAATGAGTGATGACATCCAAGCTGCGAAGAAACCCCTGAGAAAGGAAATCACTGAGCTCGGCAAACATTTTACGGACGAGGAGCTGGCAGCGCAGAGTCGCGAAATCGCCAAGAAGGTTACATTGCAGTTTTTTATGCGTTTTTTGCATAAATGAGGAACTCGTTGTGGACAGTGCTGCATCACGCTTTGTCTGAGTGAACGCACAGTAGCAAGAAACCACTGTCGGCTTACACTGCGTTTGCGACGGAATAATATGCAATAACCGTGAAATGTTTGCTCACAAATTTACATTCTTAATATTTTACTAACATGAGATTCCTACACAAGTTACTCGGGCAATCTTCATATTTTTGATATTGGTGCCAATATCTCTGCCTTTGCTGATTTTATATTGCACAAACTTATACAGCACAGGGATGAAACAAGTTACTGTACATACAGGCTTGCTTATTTGGAAGATCTAAATGGCACTTTCAGTATTTTTATTAATTATCAAAATGCGACTATGTTCTTCTCCACGATACCTGTAGAAATAGAAGAATAGAAGGATTTTCACGAAATTTTTTCGCTCATCATGCGAAAACGATCTCTAAATGCTATAGTGTTGTAGAAATTTTAAAGATACAAACAGTGAGCATC